GCAACATCAAAATTCAAAATGCTGCACCTCAAATGACACCATCAAGAAAGTGAAGAGACAACCCACAGTATAGGAAAAATTCTCTACAACGACATATATGATGAGAGACTTGGTTCTAAAATATCTAAAGAACTGTTACAACTCAATAATAAAGACAACCCAATGAAAAAATGGGTAAAGGATCTGAGTAGACATTTCTCCAAAGAAGACATAAAAGGAGCCAGCAAGTACAGGAAAAGGTGCTGCTCCACATCATCAGTCATCAGGGAAATGCACATGAAAACCACAATGGGATGCCAGCTCTCAAGCACTAGGATGGCGGCTATCAGCAAAAAGATGACTAGCATCAAGCGCTGGCCGGGATGGGGAGAAAATGGAACCCTCACACACTGCTGGAAGGAACGTAAAATGGTGTAATCACTTCAAAAAATAATTGGGCAGTTCCTCAAAAAGTTAAACAAAGAGTTACCGTATGACCCAGAAACTCCACTGTTGGGTATATACCCAAGAGAACTGAATATGTCCACATCAAGACTTATGCATGAATGTTCTAAGCAGCATTACTGGTAATAGCCAAGAAATCAATCTAAAAGTCCATTAATTGGGGGCGCCTAGGTGGTTCAGTCAGTTAAGTATCCAACTCTTGATTTCAGCTCAGGTCATGATCTCAGGGTGGTGAGGTCAAGCCCCATGTCAGGCTCTGTGCTTAGAGGGGAGTCTGCTTGGGATTCTCTCTCCCTCTCCCTCTGCCTCGCCCCAAGCTCACTCACACACTCTGTCTCTAAAATAAATAAATAACTCTTTGTAAAAAATAAAAATCCATTAATTGGTAAACAAATAAGTAAGCAAAATGCAGTATATCCATACAATGGAACATTATTCAGTTATAAAAAGGAACAAAGAGGGAAGGAAAAATAAAATAAGATGAAATCAGAGAGGGAGACAAACCATAAGAGACTCTTAACTATAGGAAACAAACTGAGGGCTGCTGGAGGGGAGACAGATGGGGGGCTGGGACAACTGGGTGATGGGCATTAAGGAGGGCACGTGATGGAATGAGTACTGGGAGTTACATGCAACTGATGAATCACTATAGTGCACCTCTGAAACTAATAATACACTATATGTTATTTAATTGAATTTAAATTTTAAAAAAGGAACAAAGTACTGATACAAGCTACAATGTGAATGAACCTTAAAAACATCATGCCAGGGGCACCTGGGTGGCTGTCAGTTAAGCGTCCAACTCTTGGTTTCGGCTCATGTCATGATCTCAGAGTCCTGAGATCAGACTCTGCTTGTTCCTCTCCCTCTGCTTCTCCTCCGCTTTCTCCCTCTCTCTCTCTCTCATAAATTAAAAATCTGTTTTAAAAATCCTTAAAAAGAAATTATGCCAAGGCAAAGAAGCCAGATGGAAATGACCACACATAGTATAATTCTACTTGTACATGTCTAGAACAGACAAATCTATCGAGAGAGAAAGATTTGTGGTTGCCTTGGGCTGAGGGTGGGTGGAAAGGGAGAGACTGCTAATAGGTACAGGGTTTCTTTTTGGGGTACTGATTGTGGTGTTGATTGCACAACTCTGTCAATACACTAAAAACCACGGAAATGTATACTTCAAATGAAATTAACTTTATGGTTTGTAAATTACTGATTTAACAAAAACAACACAACACACATGCGCACACACACATGCTTTATGGACATTCCCCATACAAGCCTCACAGAAGGGAACACTGCACACGGCCCCAGACCCAACTCATCTGTGTCACTGGCTGCAGAGGGGGTTGCTTGGAGCTCCAGGGTGTTTCCTTCTAACTCTGCAGGGTTTGTCTTTACATCTTTAAATGAACTACACCAACACATCAGTTCTTCTCCCTTGGGAGGATGCTTTTATTGAACAGTAACTTCATCAAAGCCCTGAGACATTTTCGTTGGTTCATTTCCATGTAAACACAAAGCACCAGCCATTCACCTGAACGGTGCCAAGTTCACAGCACCCACCACGTCACACATTAAAGACCATGTCTGCCATTACACATAGAGCACGCCCTGGTTGCAGAGCCCACTTTTAGGGTCTGTGCCTCATTCACGAGGGGCGCACATGCACTGGGGGACTTCATGAGGTCTCCGTACAGAGCTCTAAATTCTACTTTTTTCCACTGGACTCTTCCCTCTTTCTAATGGGTGAAAGACAACAACTCCAGGGGAACACTCTAGAAGAGACCCTTCCAGAGAGAAGAGTTGGAGTCCAGTAAACACACTTCACTTATCCCCAGTGCCCAGCACAGAGCTCAGACCTGAGCAAGCACGCTGAGTATTTGTTGTACATCAGGACAGATGGATGGAGAGATGGATGGATGGAGAGATAAACAAAGGGGCAGATATGGGCACATGGATGGACTGACAGGTAGGTGGGCAGACAGATGGACAACTGGATCGATGGATGGATAGATGTCAGAAGGACAGATGGACAGACGGGTGGGTAGATGGATAAATGAATGGAAGGACGAACAGATGATCAGATGGGTGGATGGACAGATGTGGACAGATGGACAGTTGAGTCCATCAAATAAATGGATGGGCAGATGAATGGACAAATGTGGACTGATGGAGAGATAAGTGGGTAGATGGATGGATGGATGGACTGACAGCTGGGTGGATGGGTGGGTAGACAAATAGATGGATGAGTAAATAAGTAACAGAGGTCCCATCAGATGTGCCCTGACCACTCAGGGAAATAGCAGTATCTTGCCAGCATATGGTGCTGGTGGTCTCCTCCCCTATCCCAAGGCTCCAGGATGGGCTTTACTATATCCCTAAAGAGCTGAACCTGTTCTTCCATCCATCTCCAGGGTCTAGCCACAGAGGAACAGAAGGAAGGTGTCACCTCCCCCCAAGGTGATCTGTTACCATTCATTCCCCACAGTTACTGAGGACATAAGGGGCAACTGAGCAGGCCCAGGGCTGACCCTGCTGGTGGCTCATGGGAGTCACAGCCGAGTGCCCAGGGCTTTGAGGCCATGTGGGAAGGGGGGGAACAGGTGGTCAGGAAGGGACATCAAAGCTGAGACTAGATGTGAGCAGGAGTCAGCCTGACTGACGTGTGTGTGTGTGTGTACGCGCGCGGTGAGGTGGGAGGGAGAGAAAGACAGAGGAGGACAGACAGAGAGAAAGACAGACGGACAGAGTCAGGGAGGGAGGGAGGAAAAAGCACATGCCCAGGGCACAGCGAGTGCACGAGTGCCGACCCCAAAGCAAGAGCACAGGAGCGTCTGAGGACGGAAAAGCCCAGGCATCCGGGGTACAGAAGGCAAGGCTGACTCTGCTCAAGGCTGAGTCATCAGGGCCCCAGGTGCTCTAAAGACAGTGATAAAGCCTCAGAGGGGTGTGCCCAGTGATAAGATCCCATGTGCATTCACCCACAAGTAGGGGCAGGGACGGGGCTGCCTGCCCCAAGACGACCCAGCCAGCCCCTGCCGGTTCGAAGGTTAAGAACCCAGCTGACCATCAGTGACGCCTGGCCAGCTGCAGAGAAAGGCCTACAGCAGCTTCCGGGGAGCAGGCGCTGGGGCCTCAGGAAGCAGCCTGCACTGCGCCTTACCCTGTGGAAGGCCTGCCTCGTCTGTCCTCACCGGGGTCTTACGGGCAGGGTCCTCGACTCAGCTCCGAATCCCCAAGCACATGCCCCGAGCAGGGGGTGACAGTGGCTGAGGAGGCCAGGGGCATCACAATCGCCTTGACGGGTACAAGCCTTTTCCCTCACGGCGCCGTAGGCTGGAAGGGCCAGCAGCACAAGGCCCCCACCGGTGGCTTCCCCTCTGAATGAAGTGACGCCTAAGATCCTGAGGCCCGCCTGGAGCCCACTCGGCCAGACGCGGGCGAGGCGCCAACCAACGATGTGCCTCAGGCAGTCCGGGCCACCGCCCTCATCGCAGAAGCTTCTCTGGAAAAGAACCGTGTCTCCCCTAGAAACGTTTCTGGTGCCTGTGGTCTCACGGTGACATCTGGCCTGGTGGGGGCAAACCTGAGACAGAGTTCTGCAGCGCAGACCAGAATGGGTGTGGCCCTTCTCGGAGTTTCCTGGCACTCAAAAAGGGGCATATTCGAGTGGTTCCAGTACAGTCTTTACGAATTCATCCCGAGTAACAGAAACCATATTAGGTTTAACAAACACGCTTCTGGGATCTGAGCTCAGGAAAACGGCGGCCTGCGTAGCTCTCCGGGCTTGAGGAATGAAGCACTTTCTTAGACTTTCTATCACCTGAGCCCACGAAGCAAGCCTGAGGTGGGTGGGGTCTGTGCTGTCCCTTTCTCCTCAAAGGACAGCACACAGCAGGGGCGGAGGCCAGCTCCCGGGCACGCGAGCAGGCAGTGACAGAAGCAGCTCTCACGACCCCGTCCCCTGGGGCCCGGGCAGGCCTCTGAGAGTCAGGAGCTGGGCCACAGGTGCTTCTGCTGGGACGCCCCGGCCAGCCCCGCAGACTCGCCCAAGCCGGCCCGCTGCTGCTTCTTTCACTCCACAGTCCTGACCACTCTTGTCTCTTCCTGTTCTCCACGGGTCCTCTCCTGAATCAGAAAAGAATCAACAAAGCTTTCCAGTGCCTGCCATGAGGGGCGCGCCGGTGTCGTGGCCAGGCCGGGCCCTTGCCCACCCTGCACGCTCAGATTCAGGCCGGATGAGCCAGGCTCCAACACCCCGGCCAGCCACGAGGACCCCATGTTTTGTTCATGAGATGCTCTGAGGACCTATTTACTGGTGGGAACGTATTTCCTGACAGGAACTGAAGAGCCCAGCCCACAGAGATCAGAGAAAGAGCAAAGCAAAGAAGCACTACTTTAAAAGGTGGCGCTCTTACGTCTGAGTATGTGGACCTCCCCAGACACCTGCCCACGGGCGTGAGGTCACCCTGAACCTCCTGCTTCCTCTAACGGCCTTCAAGGCTTAAGAGCAAAGTCGGGGATCAGCAAAGAGGCGAAGCACAATACTCTTCAGCTCAGTGGCCTCGGAGGCCATCAATGAGCCCCTTTTTCCACTGTAAACCAAGGAAAAGGAAAGCCCTCCTCTGCCAGCCTTTCTAAAACAATCCAGCACTTTCTGGGATATCTTATGCCTTCGATGTTGAGTCTTCTATCCCCGTACCATCTCCTTTCCAAAATAAGCAGTATTGCTCACAAGTTGCAATTCTAAGTTCTAGAGTTTAAAATCATTAACAACGTTTTAGGACTTCAAGAGCAAAGACCCTTCCGTAGCAGAAAATGGATGTTATCAGAATTACCTTGCACGGGCTAGGGTCTTTCTTGGCTTCAGGAAAACACCTAATGGAATCACATCGCCTCAAAGTCTTACAAAACACTGAACAACAGATAATGGGCTACGAAGAAATACTTAGTAGCCATCCTCGTCCCCAGTTCTCTTCTCCCATCACCTTGGGTTCTACGATAACCTAATGCCGTATTCCATTTTCTAGCATCGGGGCTCGAGGGGCGGAGGAGGAAAGAAAGAAATCTGTCCGCACATTTGCCCTGCCTGAAAGATGCCGGTCCACGGCAGAATGTGAAATTCAGATTTTTCAATATTTCCTTAACAGTGCAAGGTTACGGCTGATTCCCATGTGCTCTGTCTACTGGCTTCATTAGAGCTCGTCAAGTTTAGAGAAAAGGACCAAGAGTAAATAGGTCCTCAGAAAAGCCTAATTACGAAGGCCTCTCCTCATACCACAGGACAGAGACTCGGAGTATGAATCAACGACCCACTGCCATGGAGAAGCCCAAAGCCAAGGTGATTAGGAAGATGACTTGCAGGTTTAGAGCTCCCCTAAACAAGAATAACATGATTGCTAAGTAAACAAGACCCATTCCTAGAATGACATATTCACCACCTACCTTCTTGCCTTCTTCGCACTGTCTGGGTCCATCATCTGGAGACGTCCGCCCTTGACTGCTCACATCCTCCTTGGCATTTCCTGGGTGAGCTGCCCTCCCCAAGCCCAGAGAGCAGGATAAACAAATGGGGGTGGCTCCGGGGGGAATGGACAATCAAAAGATTAATACATTGGGGACCTCTCCAAAAGCACTGATCACCACGACCCAATTCCACCCTCCTGACTTACACTATGACACCTGCTCTGGTACTCTCCAGAGGACAGGGAAACCTGTCAGGTTTGGGGAGACGGGAAGTGATGGTTCTACTCAAACATTTCTGAGCTGGAATATGATCTTTTCTTCCAATTATTCAGACATTAAATGGAGTCAGTTTCCAGTGCCATTTATTCCTAGGCCCTTCTCTTTGTTCACTGGAATTTTTACTCATAAGAGAGCCCATAATCACACTTTCTAATTTAGCCCCCCATCCCCTTTTACCAAATCAGTCCCAACTTGGAAAGGGATGACTTTCTTATCCCACGGTGTGGGATTCCTACACCCCATAATCTCTATGTGGAGGTATGTGTGTGTTGAGAGGGCACTCAGATCCTTTCGGAAAAAAAATATTGTTTCCCATTTGAGCTGAAAATTCAAATGAAACACATTTTTCAGGGCACGTGGGTGGCTCAGTCGGTTAGGAATCCAACTCTTGATCTCAGCTCAGGACTTGATCTCAGGGTCGTGAGTTCAAGCCCTGCACTGGGCTCCACGCTGGGCGTGGGACCTACTTTATTTTTTTTTTAAGATTTTATTTATTTGACAGAGACACAACGAGAAAAGGAACACAAGCAAGGGCAGTGAGAGAGGGAGAAGCAGGCTTCCCGCTGAGCAGGGAGCCCAATGCGGGGCTCAATCCCAGGACCCTGGGATCATGACGCTTCGATCCCAGGGTCGCCGAAGGCAGACACTTAACGACTGAACCACCCAGGTGCCCCAAGGAACCTACTTTAAAAAAAAAAAAAAAGAAACACACTTTTCAAATATTATTTAGTTGTTACCTATATACATAAATTATAAAGTTTATTTACAAACTTTATGATTTAGCCAACTTTGGTTTGGCAAAATTGAATCGTAAGTATTTAAAAATACCAGCATACTTTAGTACTCTCCTGGAGTTTCTATATTATGCAGTAATGGTTGCCCACGTACTTCTCTTTGCAAAAATGTAAGCTCATAAATGAGTTCAGAGACTCAGACAGCTTTATTAACCACTGTATCCTTATCACCTCTGCCAGTGGTCTGGCATTGGCAGATCCTCCATCACAGTAATTTATTGAATGAATGAGAAAATACATGAACGAATGAATAAATGAATGAATGAGTGAATGAATGAGAGAATGAAGTAGACAATCCATTATTTTCTACCCTAACTGATGTGTGAAACTATGTTTTTATGTGGTATGGACTAAAACATGCTAGAAACTACCAAATGTTTACTTGTATTTTATTCCTAACCAATAAAGGTCCAATAACGTTTTAAAATGAATGCTCTAATTTGGAAGATTTAGGATAAGAATCTGAGAAGCAACCAAATAGGTAGGTCAAAGTAAGTTACCATCCAGGAGTTACCATATGGGACGCAATAGATGAAAATGGCCACTAGAGGGAGCCATACAACCTTTCAAAGAGCAGCATTAGCAAAATCCCATCCAGTAAAGTGGTTCTGCTCTCAGCACTTCCCACCATAGCTCACCACCATAAAATTGTTATTACTACTGCACTATATAACGTCCAACTCACCAGAACAAGCTGAGACAAAGAGTTGCAGTTTGCTAGGATTCAGACTTTTAGAAAAATGACCCCGCCTCCCCAGGTCAAATATTTCACATCTTTTCCTGTACACTCTAGCATTAAAAATTAAATGTAAATAAAATTATTTTCCCTATGGACGATGATTGAAACTATTAAAAATTCACCTGGAAAGAAGGCAAAACTATAACCTAAAGAATGAAAAAACTAATTTTTAAAGGTGGGTGCAATGACTTTCTGCCTCCAGCCACATTTTTGTAAAGGAACTTTTCGACTGTCGGAGCATTCAATTTCATCTCCTCCAGTAAAGAAACTTAAGGCATGTGCAAGCTGAGAAGTCACACCAGATAATATTATGATCCTATTGGTCAAGTTTCAAAGGCTTCACATGTAACTGAGTGTAGGAGGAAAAAAATTTCCCACAAACTCCTTCTCTCAAAAGTTCTGAAAACCCTGTAAATATTTTCAGGGCCATTAAAAGCCACAGATGTTATCAATAGGCAAGATCCATGGAAACTTTAAAAGACCTAGTCCATAAAGGCCGCAGCTTCAAAAACAGATTTTGAAACATTTGAAAGGAGCACAAGCTAATTTCCCTTTGGAACAATGTAAAATGTCCATGCCTTACTTAGAACGTAAAAAGCAATTGGCTCCACTGGGCTTCTTGCTTACAGTTCTATTTCTACAGCACATAAAATTGTAGGAAACCTCCAAAATAACAGTCAGAAATAAAGGAACAAAAGATAGAACTTGAAAAACAGAACAATTCAAGAAAGCAACTCTAAGAATAACTGATTAAAAACTAAAATTACATTAAATGGCTGTGTGAGATTTCCAAGGCAAGGGAAGATTCCAGAACCTGCACTGTTTGGTGACCTGTGGGAAAACCTAATGGGCTAACACTTGCAGATTTCCAAGAAGGCAGACAGACTGAAACTGAGAAACTGCAGAGCATCTGGGCTAATCTGTGATTGCATTTGCAGCCCCCACTCACCAACCCGGAAAAAACCTGAAATGTCAGTGCTGACAAAATTGTTACAAGATGAAGCTGGCTGGCTGAAAACCTTCCTGAGTGAATTAAAATCCTGACTGCTGGCCCTGGGGGAGACAGAAGTTGTGGGTGAAAACTGGGAACTAGCCATGATTTATACAAGGAGTGAAAAGATCATAATTTAGATTTTTTTTTAATTACATAGTTTTAGTAATTTAATTTTATCCTAATTATAATGATGACCCTTCTTCCTTCAAAGGACTCCAAGCATGCTTCTGGAACATTCTCTGTGAAAGTTCCCTCATTTGCTGTTTTAAAGAGAGAGTTGGCAAATCTCACAGAGTGAGTTAAAGTGACAGGTCTGGCATCTGACTTCCAGCTCAGTTTCCTGTGACCAGACCACACCAACTCTCAGCTCTTGAAATAACCCCCAGAGGAATTCTCTTCGGAGGAAAGCAATCTCCCCAATTATGAGAAAACCTCCTCCCCTTCTTTACCCCCCTCTGGCCTGTGCAATTTCCACATTATTTCCACATTCTGATACGCAAACTTTTTTTTTCATTCCCAGCCAAGGAACTGCAACATCCAAGACACAAAGGCCTCGTCCACGTGGGAGCTGCAGGCTCGTTTGTGAAGTGCTGTTCAGCTTAGTGCACAGGGACCCAGGCCAGCTCCCCCTTCAGTTCTAACTGTGGATGCCACAGGGCAAGTCACTTAACCGCCTCATTAGGATCGTAGTCACAGCCCTGCCACGGCCTCCTTCCCAGGTGCCTGGTCACCCTATTAATATCTGTAAAGATCCATTAAGCCTTCTAGCTGAAAGGCACCATAAGAACAAAACCTATCACTGTTATCAGTAAACTCCAAGGCACTCTTCCCTGTCATGACCTAAGGTAAATCAGTTACCCACTGCCCCCTAATGAGCTACCTGCAGCCTGGGATGTGGCATTTGATGCTGACAGGAGCTTTCTTTCCCAGGAGGGAAGAAAAGCCAGGGCTTTCACTTTGGCCAGTGAACTTAAACTGTTAGAACCTCCTGCACCTCCCACCCATACACTGCACCTGCAGCCTGAAGGGCTCTGCACGGATCCGGCCCTGCCCCCAGGGACTCTCACCTTGAGCACTGAGCTAAGAACCACCAGCAGTGTGCAATCCATGCTCAACGTGGGAGAGGTGGAAGACACACTGTTAAAAAGCAACTTGGAGAACCAGACACCAGTATGTCTGGTCTTCCCACCCGCTGCCTCCCTTTGGGACCCTCCACCTATTCTCATTGCTTGAAAACACCCTCCATCAAACATCCCGCCCGCAAACTCACCGAGGCGCTCTAACACCCCAAAATGAGGACAGTGTCTGTCTGTAACCGGGGCTGCCCAAATAAACAACATCTCCGCCCAGCAGCATACTATGCTGCCAGTAAAAAGGACCGAAGGACAAGGTACTCCTTTGCAGAATGCTGTCTATGTAACGCTACCACTTACGTCTGCATGTCATCTCCCACAAGGGGGGCGGGAGGGGGCATGGAAGCCTGGCTCTTCAGAGTAAACCCTTGTGTGGCCTTCCAATTGTTAACCAGGTGCACACATTCATCTAGGTTTCAGAGATCCCTTCTAGTTATAAACGAGGTGCCCCTCCGTCCCAGGGAGCTTCCGATTTAGCTAAACTGGGGGAGATCTAGCGCAAGGTTTAGAAGGTGTGGTTCGTTCAGGAAAGGACGGTGGGCCAAGGACAAGAGGCCCCACTCTGGTCTCCCTCCCCACTCGGTTCTTGCACCAGTAAACAGAACACCTGTCCCGGCCTGACTCCATCCGTACGCATTAACCTGGGCTTCAAAGGGCACGGCGCTCACTGTGACTCACAGTCTGGAGCTCTTGACTGCTGCAGTTGAACCTTCAGCCAGATGCTGCCTCTCTGGCCCCAGGCTCCTGGGGGCTCCACCTCCCACAGGCGCCCCCGCTCCTCCGGACGGGCCAACAGGAACTTCCTGCAGACTGAGGATGCGCACGTGTGAGCCAGGAAGGTCCGCCTCCTTCTGCCTCTCAAGGGCGGGCACTTCCGTTTCCTATCGAGGCCCCGCCCACCCCGCCCTGGCTCACCGCTCTGATCCTGCTCTGCACAAACCACCGTTTCACCTTCTCACCTGCCACTTGGTGCTACCACTTTCACCCACCCCCATCTTAGCTTGGGGCCGCCATAACAAAACGCCACACACTGGGGGGCTTCCAACAACAGACTCGCTGTCTCACAGTAGGGGAAGGGAGTCCCACATCCGGATGTAGGCAGAGGCTTGCTGAGGGCCGCCTTGTCGCTGTATCTTCACGGGGTCTTCCCTCTATACCTCTGTGTCCCGGCCCCTCTTATAAATAAGAACAACTTCTTACCAGTCTACTGGATCAGGGCCCCACTCATATGACCTCACTTAATCACCTCTTTAATGGCCCCACCTCCACATACAGTCACGTGGGGGACAAGCTTCAACATAAGACTCGGGGGGACCCAGTTGAGCTCATAACATCACCCCACACTGTCCTCTCCTCAGGCACTGTCCTTCCTCCCCCTGAGCCTCCCCAGCTCTCCTCTCCCACAGAACCTTCCAGCACATCCTCTGCAGATGCCTTGATTCCAGAGTCATCTCAAGGCTTATAGACTTCTATGTCCACGTTCACAGGGTGAGCATTTTTCACGTGGCAGTGCCCCAAATCCAGCCAAATGGGAAGCTGCTCCTGGTCCTGCAGGTGCCCATGGGGACCCCATCAGGCCCTCTCCTAATATTTCCCGGCCCAGGGTAACAGCACAGATGGAAACCTCCAGAGCATGACACTAAGTATTCAGAAAGTGTAAGCCAAGCTAGCAGAGTGCTAGATAGAATGTTCTGCTCTCCTGTCTTGACAAATATAACTTCATAACAACAGGGAAAGCCAGTTTCAAATTTAGAATTTCTTGGACTCCTTGGAGTTTTGCACCAGAATGTGGCAATACCAAGAGAGCCGGCCCCCAGCAGGCTGCCCACCTGCTTCTCCTCCTACCCCAGCCCCACACACATACACCACAAGGGGCCTGTACATACAAATGTGGACACCATGCCCACACTCCATCCGCGTCCCACCAGTGGCTGTCCCTGGGGTCTAAAGACATGCAAACTGGTGGCATGGTCCACCCTTAGATGCACAGATCCAGGGATGGAGTCCACTCCAGCCCTCAGCACTACTGGCAGGAATCCTGGGGTCCTAGCACCTTGAGCTGGCTTAGAAGGAGTGGCCTGGACCCAGGTAGGAATATCCTCTTGGGCCCACAGACTCCTGATGCCATGGAGACAGTCACAGCTGCAAGGGGGCTCTAAAGAATGGGGCTGTGGACAGGAGTCCCTGTTGTGCATTCAAAGGTACTCAATAAAAGCCAGTCAGTGAAGGGTGCAGTCAGTGCACCTGGACCCAGTCTTGAGCCTCCAGAAGCTTCTTTCTCCACATTCTGCCTGTTTACCTACATGCCCAGATACAGCCAGGGGTGATGTAAAAGCCTGAGGCCCCAGCATCCTGGGCTAGGCAGCTGAAACCCCTAAGACAAGTAGCATGCTTCAGAATCAGCACCTTCATATCTTCTTTCTCTGCAGGGCAGAGACAGAGAAGGGAGAATAAGGATCCACAGAACACTGCAAGGGTCTCAGCAGCGCTGGCCCCAGGGCAGCCCCCCACCCTTGGAGGCTGCTATTCCCCTGGGAAACCTGAGGTGGCTGCCCTGAGAGGCCAATGCACTCAAACAAAGGTCTCAGAGCCGAAGCAAAAATAAGGTGGGGGGGGGCACCTGGGTGGCTCCATCAGGTAAGCATCTGCCTTCAGCTCAGGTCATGATCCCAGGGTTCTGGGATTGAGCCCCACATCTGACTCCCTGCTCAGCAGGGAATCTGCTTTTCCCTCTCCCTCTGCCACTCCCCCTGCTTGTGTTCTCTCTCTCTCTCTAATAAGTAAATAAAATCTTAAAAAAAAAAAAATGAGAGGAACAGGACAGGTATGTGGACAGAGAACCAGCTGCCTAGGTTCTGGAACTTTCCAACACGTCAAAGTGAACAACACAGTGCAGTAAGCCTGGAATGCTCTTTGCAGAAATTCAAGGATCTTCAGAGTTTAATTATAGACCAAGACTTTGGAAATACAAAGAAATGACTAAACCGACTTGAAAATATGTTTCACCTGCTTTTCTTAGGACTGCAAAGCAACAGAAATTTCCTTACTTTCCTACCTTCTCTCTCTTATCTGTTCTCCCCATATGATAATGGCCCTGGAAACTCAATACTAAGGGTCCAAATACATCTGTATCACAAGTGAAACAGAACCCAATGTGGGGGGCGCAAAGGGACCCTGGGGCAATACCCACCAGAATCTGCCCTCCTTGCTGACTTGGAATGTGATGTTTAATATCAGAGCTTTTCTCATTTCCTCTGACAAATATATATAAAGATTCCTCTTCCAGAATATGGAAAGGGACTGTGATAGTTCACTTTAAGTGCCAACTTGACTGAACCAAGGGTACCCAGATATTTGATCTAACATTATTCTGGCTGTGTCTGTAAAGGTGTTTTGGATAAGATCAGCATTTGAATCAGTAGACTGTGTAAACCACATTGCCTTCCCGCATGTGGGTGGGCCTCATCCAATCAGTTGAAGGCCTGATTATGGAACAAAAAAGCTGACCCTCCCACAAGTAAGGGAACTCCTCCTGCCTGTTGAGCTGGGACATCGATCTTTTACTGCCTTTGGATTTGAACCAAAAACTTTTTGTTGACTTCTTGGGTCTGGCGCCTGTGGGCATTTGGACTGTTAGGACACCATCGGCTGTCCTGAATCTCCAGCTTGCTAACAACGGCAGATCCTGCGAGTCTCAGTCTCCACACCGTGTGAGTCAGTTCCTCATATTAAATCTCTTCTCTCTATATATCTACATCCTATTGGTTCTGTTCTCTGGAGAACCCTGACCAATACAGGGACTCAGTGGATCAAGAATGGAAGAGAGGACTGTCTTCTGCAGTAGGAGCTACAGAGGTGCTTGGGGGCTCAGTGCCGTCAGAGCTTGCCTTTGCACTCCAGCTGCCCTACCAGCTGAAGCTCCTAGGGATCCCCTGCAGCTTCTAGTGGAAAGGATGAAGTCATGGGCTCTAAGCTTCAAGTGAAGGAGCAAAGGCCCTCTGAGCGCCCAGCAGCAATCGGCAGCACAGACGCACTTCTCTGGATTCTGCTTCTCTCTGAGGTCATGTGACTTTTTTATTATCTCTAAATCCAATTATTTCTCAGGCTGGGAAGGGCTCGCCGCCTGTGATACAGCATAAAGCCTCATCTGTGCGGAAGCAATGGGAGATTTCTCAGGAGGAAGAGAAGACCCACATGCCGAGAGTGCCAAGGAACCTCCCTACCCACAGTCACCTAGAACACACATGTGTTATCCATCACCATTACCCCAACTCTTCCTCCTGATACAAGGTGGGTTTACCTTGGTACATGGCAGGAGAAATTGGCCAACTGACGCCCAGGGCCTCATCCTCTTGGAATGTCTCACAGAAGTCCTGCAGCATGGCCATGCCCAGGCCTTGGCGACGGTACATCCTCCTGACAAACACGGTGTCGAAGACAGGCAGCAGGTAGCACGCACCTGTGCCATCACCACACAGGCTGCCTGCAGGGTAAGGAAGTGACATGCACTGGCCCCAGACTTGCACCAAGCCGCCAAGACCCTGCAGAACGCCCGCACAGCCAGGTCATTGGTACCACCTGGAAGAAGGGCTCACATCACTGACTAAACAACCTGACAAGACAGCAGATCCTCCCAAACCACCAGCTCTCCAGCTGGGTGATCAGCCCACACGTGATTGATCACTGGGAGGACAGCCACCAGACTACTGCCCTGAAATGAAAAGCAAACCCATGTGAATGGACCATTCATGCACCCAAGACCCTCAGATGCTGCCCTCACCGTGCACAGTTCACAGAGACACTTGAAGCCAATGAGGAGCATCTGGGCGACATCAAAGTTCTCCATGAACCCAGGGAGTACGGGCTGGGAGATCCACCCAATACATCTCTAGGGCATGGACTTGTTTTGGTAACTCTAACAAGGGGTCATCATGTCCTATTAAGGCAAAGTACATTTACTCCGAATAGACTAAGTCCTGTTTCCCCTACAATATCAATGACCTTGCTATAGCAGAGCAGGAGAGGTGACAGTTGGCACCCTTCCCACTTTTCCACCCTGAACTGAACTTCACTGCAACCAGCACTAATACCAGCACAGTTGCTGTTTCTGCAATGGAAGCTTAGCGTCACAGCCAGTTGCCTCTGTTGTCACCCTAACCAGAAAATCTTTCTCACTTCCAAACTGCACAGGTGCCTGTGCCCTAGATGCACTAGAGTCCAGGAAAAGAAGTATGTAGCATATTCAGCTCCTATTGGAAAAAGAGGTATTCATCCCTACCAAGATTCAGAAGGTGGGTAATTTCCCAAGCAAAAAACCGACTCCAATTCTAATTGGCCAGACTGAGTTGCAGAGACACAAGCTACCGTAATAACTGCAAAAATGGCCACAGTTATTACCCTTCCTATATCCACATCCCTTTACATGTGGTTCTGAAGCACCTGCCATCAAGAGATGGGGTCTGGCCACATAGGGTCCAGTGCCCATCTGTTCTCTCTCATATCCCTGCCACTCACTCCAAGAACAAATCTGGACTAGCCTGTCACCATGAAAGAAACATGGCCTGGGTACCCTTGTGGTCCCAGCAAACATCGAGCCACCAAAAAGCAAAGCCACCTACCAGATGGGCTAAAACCCCATGGAAACTGTCAACAAAAAGGATGGTGAGCTGAATGGTTGGTTTTGTGGAAAAATGAATGAATAAATAAATAATCTGTGGCCAGTGATCAATACCACCTAATTCACTTGAGAAGGTAATTGTAGAGTACTTGAATTTCACCCTCAGTGTTCTTGCAATGAGAGTACAAACTTGGGTTGGAATTCTATAACTTCCAACTTCTATAGACAATGAGAACAACATTCCCCAAATGATAAAGTCCTCCAAAGCTGAAAAGGTTTAATGTTAAATAAAAATACAATTCCATTCATGATTGCCTTAAAAAAGAGTCAGTATTTAGGAATATATTTAAACAAAAGAAGCTCAAATCTTGAATACTGAAAAACTACCAAACATTGTCGAGGGAAATTAAAGAAAATCTAAATAAATGGAGACATTCCATGTTCATGGATTGGATGACTCAATACTTTTAAGACGGCAATTCTTCCCAAACTGGTCTGTAAGTTCAATGCCCATCAAAATCCTAGCAGGCATTTTCTTTTTCTAAGAGAGAGTGAGAGGGAGGGCAGGGGGTGGGGAGGGAGGGAAAGGGGCAGAGGGAGAGGGAGAGAAGGAATCTTAAGCAGGCTCCACACCCAGCACAAAGCCCAACACGGGGCTCGATCTCATGACCCTCAGATCATGACCTGAGCTGAAATCAAGAGTCAGACACTTAATCAACTGAGCCACCCAGGCGCCCCACCAGCAGGCATTTTTGTGGACACCAACAAGCTGATACTAATATTGACATGAAATGCAAACTCTCTACAATAAGCAACCCAGTTCTGAAAAAGAAGAGTAAAGTTGGAAGTTTTACACTACCCAATTTCAAAGTTTCTTATAAAATCAAGGCAGGCAAGCCAGTGGGATACTGGTGCAAGGATAGGCACATACATCAGTGGAACAGAAATGAGTCCAGAAATAAACTCTTAACACTTTGAACTTCAACAAAGGTGCCCTTTTCAAATGAGGAAAAGACAGTCTTTTCAACAAATGGTGGTGGGATGACTGGATATTGATAAATCAAAAAAAAAAAATTTTTTAAGGGAAGAAGCTGGAACAGAACAGAAAGCTCAAAATTAGACCCACACAAATATAGTCAACTGATCTTTGACAAAGGAGCAAAGTAAAGTCAATGGAGAAGGGACAGTCCCAGTAAGTGATACTGGACAAATGGATATCCACATGAATAAATAATAATAATCATCTAGACACAAACCTTAAACCCTCAAAAAAATTGCCTTAAAATGAATCACAGACATAAATATAAAATGCAAAACTACAAAACTCCTAGAAAATAACACAAGAGAGGGGCGCCTGGGTGGCTCAGTCGTTAGGCGTGTCTGCCTTTGACTCAGGTCATGATCCCACCGTGCTGGGATCGAGCGCATCCGGCTCCCTGCTCAGCGGGAAGCCTGCTTCTCCCTCTCCCACTCCCCCTGCTTGTGTTCGCTCTCTCGCTGTGTCTCTCTCTGTCAAATAAATAAATAAAATCTTTAAAAAAAAAAAGAAAATAACACAAGAGAATATCTAGATGACCTTGGATTTAGCGATAAATTTTTTACATACAACAACAAAGACATGATCCATGAAAGAAAAAACTGACAAGCTGAATTTCATTAAAATTAAAATTTTGCTGCTCTGCGAAAGACCATGTCAAAAGAATGAAAAGGCAAGGCATGAACTGGGAAAAAATATTTGCAAAAGACACATTTGTCTGATAAAGGACTGTTATCTGAAATATACAAAGAACTTTTAAAAAATCAATTGTAAGAAAACAAACAACTTGATTAAAAAGTAGACCAGAGATTTTAATAGAGACCTCATCAAAGATGTACATGTACAACAGATGAGCATATCAAAAGATGCTCCACATCATATGTCATCAGATAAATGCCAATTAAACAAGATATCACTGCACACCTAATAGAGTGACCAAATTCCAGAACACTGTTAACACCAAATGCTGGTGAGGATGTGGAGCAATAGGAACTCTCATTCATTGTTGGGGGAAATGCAAAATGGTACAGCAACTCTGGATGACAGCTTGGTGGTTTTTACAAAAGTAAACATACTCATATCATATAATTCATCAGTTGTGCTCCTTGATACTTAACAAAAGGAGTTGAGAACTTATGTCCACACAAATGTTCATGGCACCTATATTCACAATTGCCAAAACCTGGAAGCAACCAAGATATCCTTCAATATGTGAATGGATAAACTACAGTACATCCAGATAACAGAATATTATTCAGTGCCAAAAAGAAATAAGCTATCAAGCCACAAAAAGCAATAGAGAAACATTAAGACATATTACTTAGTGAAAAAAGTCAACCTGAAAAGTCTACAATTACACCAATAATATGACATCCTGGAAAAGACAAAACTATGAAGGCAGTGAAAATATCAGTGGTCGTCAAGGGGTCATGGGGAGGGAGGGATGAATGGGAGGAGCCCAGGGATTCTTAGGGCAGTGAACCTATTCTGTATGATGCTACAAGGGTAGCTATATGTCATTATACATTTGTAAAAACCCATAGAATATACAACACAAAGAATAAACCCTCATATAAACTATGGGATTTAGTTAATAATAATGTATGCTTCTGGACTGAATTGTGTCTCCCCAAATTCTTACATTGAAGCCCAAACCCCAGTACCTCGGAATGTGACTATATTTGGAGACAGGCACTTTAAGTGGTGATGAAGTTAAATAGAAGTCTTTCGAGTGAGCTCTCATCCAATCTGACAGGTGTCTTTATGAGAAGAGGAAATTTGGACACACAGAGAGATGTGCACACACACAGGAAAGACCGTGTAAGGACAGCGAGAAGCAGCTATCTACAAGCTAAGTAGAGAGACCTGGGAAGAAACCAAACCTGCCAACACCTTGATCTTGGACTTCCAGGCTCAAGAACTGTGAGAAAATTACTTTCTGTTGTTTGAGCCACCCAGTCTGTGGTATTTTGTTATGGCAGTCCTAACTAATAGGTGTATCAATATTGGTTTATGAATAGCAACAAATGCACCACACTAATGTAATATGTTAATAATACAGTAAAGTGTGTATGTGTGGAGGAGGGTGGGGGGGATGTAGAAGAACTCTCTGTACTTTGTCCTCGACTTTTGTATAAAGCTAAAACTGCTCTAAAAAACAAAGCCTATTAATTTTTTAATGTACTAGGTGTTTTTATGGGGCATCTGCGTGGCTCAGTTGGTTAAGTGACTGCCTTCGGCTCAGGTCATGATTCCAGGGTCCTGGGATCGAGCCCCACATCAGGCTCCCTGCTCAGCGGGGAGCCTGCCTCTCCCTCTCCCTCTGCCGCTCCCCCTGCCTCTTGCTCTCCTGGTCTCTCTCTGTCAAATAAATAAATAAAATCTTTAAAAAAAACTGTACTAGGTGTTTTTAAAAATTAAGCTGAACACTCAGCTCATATCATATATAAAAAATTAATTCAAGATGGATCTAGGCATAAATAGAAGTTAAAACTATAAAGCTTTCAGAAGAAAACATAGACGAAAATCTTCACAACCTTGGGTTAGTCAGAGAGTTCTTAAATTCAATACCAGAAGCACAATCAATTGACAAATCTGACTTCATTAAAGTTAACTTTTGTACTTCAAAGTTAGACTGCAGAAAATGTTTACGAATCACATTTCTGATAAAGGACATAACCAGACTATATAAAGAACTCTAATAATACAATAAAAAGAAAACCAATTAAAAATGGACAGATGATCTGAACACTTTTTCAAAGACATACAAACGGTTAATAATCAGTGAAAAGATACTCAACATCATTAGCCACTAGGAAAATGAAAATTA